TAATAAGTTATAAAGCTAGAACACATATTTCAGTGTGTATACTAAGGAATCACCTATAGGGATTTAAAAATTTAGAAAACAATGAGTGTGTACCATATACGTGACACAAAATCAATCGATTTGACGTAGAATCATTCTTGTTGCAAATTCTTTTTTCTCTCTACCCAATTTTTTTATCCGTTTGTCATGATGACATATTAGTAATCCACTTGTACCGGTGCTGTCAATTAAAATGTCACTGGTTTTCATTGCTGAGACGATTTCAAATTGTGATATCCAGTGCATATGTGTTGTTAATAGTTCTCTAAGTGATATAGGGTTTTATAACTGGATCTACCTGAAAACGAATTAAATCTCTACGATCTCAGGAACCTATCGAGTTTTTATTCCCACTGATATTTTCACTCTATCTTATTAGTAAACGTCATTGTGTGAGTTAGCATAATTTGCAGGAGGTGTCAGTGCTGTAACTACATTTTTCTGATGATTTACTTGGTGCATCTTGAAAAAGCTATTGAATCAGTGAGACTGTATTGCTAGAAGAACACCTATCAGCAAATGCGCGTGGAAACTTATAGGATGTTTTATTTCTGAATAGTGGTTCAGAGTGAACTGACGAATATTTGAAATGACTCTTGATTGTCTGATTGCATATGTTTTGAAATTTCATACAAGTACTCACCCATAAGCCAGAGTGTAGCAAATTTACAGTAGCACATCTAACACAGAAATAAGCAATATTCCATATCACTAGTTTCAAATGTAAGATGATGCTGCAGGAGCGGACTATATCGATTCCTAGCCTAAACATAGTGAGTGAAGTGTTGACTACCCCACTTATTTGGGAAGCTTCATCAACTCCAATGGGCTGATGGCTGACGAAATCTCAACACAAATTTAGAAGGCTTGTCTAGCATTCACCATACGGCTTTCGACCAAAGAAAATCTGTACTGCTCAGTAGTTCACTCCATCCTCCTTTATGGCTATGAGTGAGTCATGGCCATTGAAGGGGAAGACATGAAAGGGTCTTTGGTCATAGGCGTCTGCATTCTGTCTCCTGTGTTAGGTCGTATAATACAGTAAGCAATATTGAAGTCAGGCGTCGGTTGCTAGGTAAAGAGGGAAAATCAATCGATAGGGTTGTGAAGTTACATCGATTGAACCATGTGTTACGCATGTCTGACATAGGATGAAGTTGGAAAATAGCTAGTGGTGGTCAAACCAAAACATGGCCTCATCAGTCAATAAGATCTACAACAATTAGTTCAAGCCGCACAGAGAGGTGTAGGCTTCGTGGTTGGGGTCCGCAGGGTAGTGAAAATCGATGACTGGAGACAATTGATGAGATACCTTGAAATCGCTCTCAATCGCGCAGATGCATTCACTGTTTGTGATTTGTCATATCCGGTAAAACCCCATCGTTCTTACACATAACTGTTTTTTCCCCTCATACTTCTGTTTATTATCTCTCTTCTCTTGATATGTGTGCTATATAGGGAATGGCGACTCAAACTGTCGCACATCTGTGCAAAGTTCTACTTTGACACCAGTCAGTCAGCCACATAACCAGATGCTTGAAACCGTGAATATTAGTCGACTAGAACGTTGGGAATCACTTGCCGAACTGATCTGATATGTTGATATTTCACCTGCTAATTATCGTACTTTAGCATTTCGTTTGCACATGAATAAGTTTGTTGTTATGCTAATACTGATTTAATGTATATAAGTTTTTCATACGTTAATGAGATTGGTAATTAATACTTAGAGGTAAAATGCAAGATCGTTAATGTTGTCAGGATTCCAACTGGTATTATAACCACTAGTTCATCCATCGCTGTTATTATTGTTAACATTATTATCCAAATCATTTTGTCAATTTAAGAATATCTCATAGAATACAGTGAACACTTGGTTACACTTTTTCTACCTGATTTAGTACAGCTTCAATTTGAATGAGATGGTTAGTGTCGACCAGTTTATGCAAAAATATTGGGAAAACAGTCACATTACAACTGATGCAATCAGACAATCTTATGAAACCGATGTTGTTGTTTTAAGCTATTAACCTGATGAAAAATTACTGGACAGACTTATATAGTTGAACCTATCAATCAAAATGTGATGTAGGTGGAAACCAAGGTTCGGTGGCTGATATGCATGATTCCGTTACAAATATCTACCTACGGTGAAGAATAAGTTTTAATTCAAGCTATTTTATACAGCACAAATTCTTTTTATTAGTAAGGGCTGAGAAACTACTCGTTTTGCAGGATAAAACTAGCCCGGCATCCAGTCAGTTCACAGAAGTCAAGTAGTTAAATCAATGGGTCTCACACCTGTATCACGACATGAACACGGCACACTTCTAAACGTTAATGATGGACAATACAGGGAAGAAATGTTTAAAAGAAACGTAATAAAGCCGAATTATCTTTCATATCCACTTTTATAACGTATTTAATATTAAGTATTTTATCGTAAACAACTGACTAACAATTATATTTATCAGTAGTCGTAGCAATCCTCCATTATTTGGAATAAGCCAATTGCTTCTATCAGTATCTTATTGAATATATAGTACATGTATTACCTTGTGGACACCTGTTATTTTTTATTAAGCTACTGAATTAGGATATTGATTTTTTTAAAGTAATTTTGTATCGTTTTATGTTCTAGTCTGGTACTACATCTTGAAGACTATCTAACCATTGGTAAATAATATCAAGTTCGCAAAACTAACCAACTCTAAATAATAATAGTAGTACGAAGAAGGCAAGATTTTTGTCTGAGACCTTTCAATATCTTCATTAAAAGACATCACAGACAATAACAATTATGAATTTATATACAAAAATGACCTCGTTCATAAAGCGACACATAGGAAAGTCAATAGGTCTCACCAGACAACATGAATGCAGAAAAAAGTTGAAATCCGCATTATGACACAGAAATTATGAGCTTAAATGACGTAGAGAAAGTGTGAACTATCAAGCTTTTCTAACAGTTAATCGTTGTAATATGTTATGAACGTTTATATCAAGGTGTGATAAAATATTTTAATATAGTAGTACAAGCTTTTCGTTAGGATAGAAAAGACAAGACATTGCATGTAGTGTTCAGCTGATGAATTCGTCTAAAATTTGAAGAATTCATTAACATTTATTTTTTTCAATTCGTATTACGATCCAGATTTCCTTTCAATTGTAGAGAGCAGTAATGAGAAATAACAACAACAACAACAACAACATGTGATATGAAATATCTATCTGCAAAATTTCAATAATCTAATAAACCGAAGGACACCAACACAGGGTTTCACTTACTATCTAAACATGAGAGTAAACAATGTTTGCAGTGCCTGTAAAAGTAAAATTTAAGTACTACAGTACTTCAGTTATCTTACAACCGGTGGTGGTGAAATTATACATCAGGAACATACTCGAAGAATTTAGGAATTTGTTTTGAAAAATACTTCAGAGGTACTGTCCAATGCGACTTCTATTCGGTTACTAATCTCTCCATTTTTTCCTTACAACCTACAATACTAGTAGTACAAGAGTCATCATCAGTATCACTTCATAACGATCACTATCAACAGTGGAAGGAACAAAGAGACAGAAACATTTTCACCATCGGTTATAATTATAGGCTATATTTCATAACCTGTCGAACCACTTAGACTTATCAGCATATGTTTTTTTAATTTTTGATTACAGCTTGACTCCACACTATATTTTTGGTACAAGTCTGGAATTTTCAGCATGGATATCGGAAGCCAAAATTTTGTAGGCCGACCATAAATATCAGGTGTGCGTCGGCAGGGGATCGAAACTCGTCATGGTAGGCGAGGGTCCTAACCAATGTACCACCGACGCAGAGGTATTCTTCCATTTTTGGTGCTGTTTCATGGGTTTATCATCTCCCACTTTTTTAGCCTGTTTCAAACCGTGCAGTATGAAAACTGATCGGATGGCATTATTAATATATGTAAAAGCCTCTAAAGTTGGTATATCCAGACGACATCGTTCACTGAAGGACGATACCCACCATACTCGGACAAGCACTGTAGGACGTAAAAGAATTACATGATGTCACTACCGTACTCGAGTTGTTGTACGGAAAATCAAACAAGTGATATTTTAAAAAGCTATCAACTTGGAAAGGTTAATTTTCACAAACGTAGATTTCGTAAGTCTGTTATCGCACATTAAATTAATATAAATCGTGCATCCGAGGATGAACAATCCCTAGGCAACAGACTGACACTAGGACAGCGTACATCCATTAGAGTTGTCACTAGAATATCACTGTCAGTGAAATTAAAAAAAAATAAACAGGGAAATCGGACAAACCTGTCGTACATTCCTGTTAGTTGTTAATTGTTAAGAGATGACCCTACACCCAAACTTTCTTTGAGTGGTTTTCGTATAAGGCTTTCAGAATACCTATACACAATCTTGAATCAAAGTCCAGTCACACAAATCGAAAGTGAGCCTATTATCAAAAAATACAACGTTTGTTGGCCTGCAATATGTGGAACGAATTTCTAACAAATGAAGGATAAACATTCACCTCTTGAACAAAACCCAACCCGCTTTTCGTAAATCAACTTTTCACGCGTTTCGCGAAGCGGTGGGTAACCAATACAGTTCGCATTTTCCCGATAATGATGAGTAATCGATAAATGTCAGCCACCATATGAGTAATATCGGTTGGTATCATGTGACCGATTTGTAAATGGCAAACTACATAGTAAGAACTTTACTGACCCTTTTTATAATGCAGTCGACATTTAAATATAAAACCATTGTATTATTCACCATTTTATATTATCTAATACAACAAGATTTATCAAACAGATGAATTTACAAAAGCAGAAAAGTCCTTCTGTCACAATGTGAAGTACAAAAGATCTGCTTAACAAACGGAGAAAAACAAACAAACAAACAGTTCAACAAATGAAGAAAGAAAAAAAAACAGTAGGTTGAAGCCTCAATCATAGTGCTAGTTCACCACCATACCGTAAACGCAGAAAGTCTTGTTGTGATCGTTTTTCAAGATTATCCAATTCTTTCACTGATGACGCTAAGAGATCTATGTGACTTTTATACCTTGGAGCCACTGAAGGAGACAAGAAAAATAAAAAGCCAAATGAATTTGAAATGATAAAAAAGTGAAAGCACAATATACAAACAGTTGATTAGTCAATATGTATGGTGAAGCTGAATATTTCATGTAGTAATAGTTTGTTCTTTATAGTGGTAGACCCAGAAAGCTAAGATGCTGGATAGCTAAAGTAAGCAAGTGAGTATTTCAACTCAGTACCATTATGCCTTTTTTGTATGGAGCAGATTCTCATTGTGGTGGTGTGATACAGACAACGTGTTCCAACGGAATATGATTGTCACATATTCCCACAGTTCAATATGGCATTACCAACAGAATACCATATATCTATTTGAACATTCTGTTTGATGTTAGAGTCAGAACTTTTTTCACATAGTTCAATACTGCGTTAGCAACAGAATACTGTGCATATTTGAACATGCTATTTTTTGTCGTTTAGTGTGAAGCAAGATCACAAGCTCAGTGACTGGTTAACGAATATAAACTGTTTATGTATATAAAAGACGGTTCGATTAATGATTATACCTTGGCTTCCGTGTCTCGTCTTCTGTTGTTAGAAAATTAAGAGAATGGAAGTTTTACCTCTATACATTTGTAAAGTAAATTCTTCATCAATTTAACTGCATAGGCTGTATTGGTATGCTCATATACATAAAAAACTACGAAGTTAAAGTTGAACATATACTGCCTTAGGCGTTATGTTTTTCAAAGTAGATTTCCGACATATTGTTACGTTTATTTAATGTATTGAGACTATAGTGTTTCAGATTCCTAGTTTAGGGTCATCCAGCAATTAGGAACTAAGTTACTTTGAAGTTTTACGGTTGCTTAAATCAGAATTTTAAAAAAACTAAAGTACGATGCTGCCTAGCTATACTTAATTATACCGAGCCGGACCATCGCGTGGTTCCGGTCTCACATACTAAGGTCAGTGCAGCAAGGTAATCACTTGTCTTTTGGAACTGGGTGGAACAAAACTTCAAATATTTTTACATAACTTACTCTGCTTCAATTTTTGCCCGTACACAACTTTCCCATCAAAAGCATCAACAGGTACACTTAAATGTTTGTCTACTGTATCAATGGTAACACCCAAATGTTCTTCAATTTCACTCAACAAATTAGGTTCATTATACCATGTACAACATCCACCTTGATCTAATAAACGAGTATTGTAACAACCACGACCACGTGTGGAACAGTTGGAGTGATACCATACCTTTTAAAATAAAATTGATTAAAGATGTCATTAATTTTCTTTTCTGATATATCATTATTTAACAAATCAATAGGAAGGGTTAATGACAAAATTTTTCTTAACCCAATGAAGTGAAAATATCTCATGCCTAGTTATCTATTAGAAATGAATAGGAAAGAAAACCATATGATTTGCCGTATTTTGTCTGATGTAAACAACTTTCACCCCTTTTTAATGCGATTTCTAGAATCATATGTTACAGCATTATGTGAGATGCCTACACTATTCATCCACGTTTTACGTTGGTTAACATACCAATGGAATTCAATTAAGCAATCGTTGCCTCATGTTGCCCATATTTTGTAAACGCTTATATGCGAGCTTTGCTATTTGAACATGGAGAGATTTCAGCGTTTAAATTCAATTCACTATATTTTACGCCATAGAACGCAAGTAATAAAATAAATAAGCAACCACTGTGAGAACGACATTATTTTAGTTACAGTTAGCTAACTTTATCAGTCGTCAGGAACGCAAGTGGCTTGGGTTTGATTCCCTACTGACGCACTCTTAAACCTCCTTCAGCTGTTATTAAGCTCAGTGAAGAGTGAGGGCTGAGCACGAGGCTAGGAATCCTACCCCGTAAAAGTAACGTCATAGTTACTAAAACTCCAAAGCTCAAACGTGAAACTCGATGTTCCACTGCGAAAGTGAAGGGATGTGAAAAATACAAGTCTATAGGTAGCATAAAAATGTGAACACCCAGTTTCTATTTTTGTAGAGCTTTTGTCGAATTGTAATGTGTTGAAATCTAAATCAGTTATACTTTAAATGAAGAGTACAAAACCCTGTCGTCAGTGGGCCAAATTATGTGTTCACTACGCTTAAATCACGATTTCTAATTTAGTCTTGAAAATCGAGACAAGGTAACATTGACAGAACAAGAAAATTAACATTTTGTTGAAAGTTGCAGGTCAGATTTTGAACTAAGATTTAATCAATCAGTCATTGAGAGATATACGCAATTAGAAGACTACTAGATGTTTTTATTGGGAACAAAAACAGAACTCGTACATTATGAGCACGGAAAATCCGTGCATAATTGCAGTATAATGAATTTATTTCGTAGTATATTACGCGTTGACAAGTTGGCTTTGCTTAATTTTCCACCAGAAAATATTTTATTTATCACAGATAGGTCACTGGATTTATTGATACAGTCCCTCTTTTTGTATGACTATTGTGAGAAGTAGTGTCAGTTGGTTTTTTTTCCCTTCATGTTCCCCAGTGGAGCAGAGGGCCTCAAGCTAGAAGCTTGAAGTTGCTGTAGCAGTGTTTAATTTTACAGGATGGGGTTGCTAGCCTCATACCCAACCTTCCCTCTTTACCAGCATTATTTTTGGCTTATAATGCTGGCCTAGCGCGGTAAAGGAGTTCATCGGTCGGGGATTGAACCCCGGACCATGTACATGTTCGGCAAGCATCCTAACCGCTATACCACCGACGCACCAGTTGGTACTATAAAGTTATTCCCTTTGTTCTCTAATTTCTATGATATCACTCACTGGAAGAGTAGTGTGAAAACAAAGTTTTTTATATTCATTTAGAGAGATCATTTTTTCACTTTGTGCTTGTAATTGAGTGGGTTGATGAAGTAATTTCTAATGGAGAGTGAATCAGATTTAATGAAAAAAGTTACTGAAAAAATTTCAATAAGAGAAAATCTCATTCAATGTTTGTGTTGTACATGTTGTCATATCAATTTTAATAGACAAGCCATTATAAGGTGCAGAAACACTTAAAATGATGACAAGACATCAATACAGTATCGGACGTCAAATGAATCTCGAATGAACATAACTATGTAATAAAACCTGAAAGAATTTTTACTGACCCATTGTTGTTGATTGCTCTGGAGTTTCTCATTCTCACAGCATTTTAATTAATCAGAAGTACTAGGTGTGTGATAATTTGCCTATTCACTCAGCGCATACATTCGATTTACTAACTAGACTATACAAGTGCGTCAGTGGCACAGCGGTACAATGCTCGCCAACCACGCATGTGGTACGGAGTTCGAACCCCAGCTGAAGCACTCGTTTACTTCGTTTAGCCAGGAATAAGGAGGGTAAAGAGGGAAGGTTGTGTATGAGGCTGGCAACCCCATCCCGTAGAAATAAACACCACTGCTACTGAAACTTTAAAGCTCTAGCTTGAAGTATTTAATTGGTGGGTGGTGACTAGCAGTGGAATCCAGGATGCGCATTTCATCCTATTTGGGACTCGTCAGTTGGATGTACCTGCATTTCTCAGTGAGTAGTGAGCTTGAAGCCCTACGTTCCACTGGGAACGTAAAGGAATAAAAAAACTAGATTATACAATAAGTATGTTTTATTGTAAAGTTTATGAGAGTAAAAATTGGTTGGTAAGTTTCACATGTGTTTAAGAAAAGAGTCATAACCATTTGCAATACCTTTCATATTAAACTAAAAGTATAATCTAACAAACAAATTAGAAATTAATAGATTCACTGACTTACCTTTTCTTTGACAGTTGAAACTAGACTAATAGCCAAACCCATTCTAAAATAGTCAAAACAATGAAAATTGTGTCAAAATACATTACACACTTAGGAAGAAGTTCATTTGATACAGTCCAATTTGTTTAGATAGAATGATAAACACTTAAACTGAAATAGAATACAATATGAAGCATTTTTCAGCAAGAATTCTGTAGAGTGGATTGATAGAAGAATACTTTCATTTACAAATAATTATTCACCAATGTACCAATGAAAACTAAATAGCACCTACACTTCACTTCAAAATTCTCTCCATATACTTCACGTAGAATCTAGTAAGAAACCAGAGTGCTTGCTTACAGGTGGATATATATACAATCCAACGGTTACACATTCTGAATGAAATAATCGAAGATCGTAGATGGTCACAAGGTAGAATCACAAATGAAAAAGGCAATCCATAAAGTGTGACATTACAGATGAGATGAGATTAAAGTTTATATAAATATTTTTCCTCGAATACGCTAACTTTAAAAACATACAAAGCTCTCAACTCGTGATTTCAGTTGTCCTGTAGTCTACCAACAGGCAATTATACATGACCGATAGTCATAGACTTTACACACTGATAACCAATTTGGTTTGGTTTCGCACAACTCACTAACTGAATAAAAGATTCATCAATGTGATGAACAAATATACGTGGGATAAAAAATATTTCCAGAAGGCGAAGTAAAGATAGACGTATATTCCCTGTTAAGGGGTGAACGCATCTGTTATATGATAAGCGCTCTTGAAGTATTCCACCAAAAGTCACTTACTGTTGCTTCTAACAATCTCGAGAAACCCAAACAAACAATTCTGAAACTTACTGTATACTGCCTTCAGGCCTAGCTCCCCATCATTTTGTAGGCCACACTCACGAAAAATACGCTTCGCTTCACAGTTTAAACGAATTAACTATGAGTGTACAGCATGGTGCTAGGTCTTAATCTAATTTTGCATCAGTCAAGGACTTCATTTTTAACATATGCTACAGCCATTTAAATTTCACTGGATAAATTGACTGACTGGTTTTAACATAGAACTTTGCACCAATGTGCAGAAGTTCGAGTCGCCACACTCCATGTAGCACACCCAGCAAGGGAAGAAAGTAAAAAGAAATGCAAAATAACGATAGAAAACAGAGATATGAGGCAAAAAGAATGGTAATAGTGAGGAACAATTTAGTTTTATTGGTATTATAAGTTACAAGGAGTGGATGCATTTGCGCCATTGAGAACGATTTTGAGACATATCACTAATTGCCTCCAGCCATTGGTTTTTACCGTCCCGAGGACTCCAACCAGGAAGCCAGTCTACAGCTTCCTACGTGGCTTAAACCAACGTGACTGATGAAGCCGTGGTTTGGTTTGACCACCAGTGGCTCTTTTTCAACTTGACCCTATGTCACCTAGCATTGCCCATCGAGGAAGGCGATGGTTAGGCATGTGTAACACATGTCCTAACCATCCCAGTCGATGTAACTGCTTCACAACCTCATCTATTGATTTCCCCTCCCACCTACTTAGCACTTGACGCCTAACCTCAATGTTGCTCACCCTATTATACAGCTTCACATGGGAGATAGAACGCAGAAAACTATGATCAGATAGCTAGCCTTTTGATGTCCCCCACTCTCAGTGGGCAGGTCTCACAGCTACAAAGGATGACGGAGTGGACTGCTGAGCAGTACAAACGTCCTTTGGTCGATAACCAGCCGGATATCACGTCTACGCCAGAGACGGCAAAAACTGACATAAGCCAAGCGAGCCTTCTGTATCTGTGCTGAGATTTCGTCAGCGATCAACCCATTGGCACTGGTTGATGAAACTTCCGAATAAGTGAAGTGGTCAACACGCCCCACCACTTCACTCCTGCCTATCTTTAAGCTAGAAGTGAGTCGATGTAGTCCAGTCCCGTAACACCATCATACATTTGACAGCAAGAGCGAATCACATGCCAAACATTCGAAGATTGCTGCTCCTCAAGGTGTTCAGAAAACAACATATTGTCAGCGTCTTTACCTAGGAGGGAGGACTAATCATCTGCATATTCTAAGTCAACGAGATTATTCCCTAGTAAAAAGTCAATCCCTGAGTCTCTGAAATGAGTAAGGAAGAATTCCGTTAGTACATATATGATAAAATTGAAAAGAAATGGGAATGGTTGGCATCCCCGACGGCCACCACTTCATATGACAAATCGCCGTAAGCTCTCACCTGGCTGACTGCATGAGTTCGAGTAGAGTACATCGATCAGTGCAATGTATTTTCTCGGCATCCCCTCTACAGCCAAGCATCGCCAGAGTACCTCTCGGTCGACATAATCAAATGCCACCCTTAGGTCAAGAAATATAACGATTTTTGGACGCCGGTGAGTATGCCTATGTTCCAGAATCTGTCAAAGGGTGACGATAATCTATTGGATAGATTATCTCCCTTGAGTGGAGCTATGCGTATAGCCTAACATTTAAAACAAAATCGGGCAGTGCTTTCGTTTCAAAACACAATTTTCAGATATAATGCATTGCTATACAGTACACAAAACTTCGAATCATCTGTTGAGCAGTTTCGCTGGGTTCATCTACACAGTGGTATTTTTCGTTGTAAAACCTTGAATAGTGTAATTGGTTGTGTTACCACTGCCAAAAGTAATGCAATCAGATGAAGCCGAACGAGTCTTCAATTTCTTGAGCCATCGAATTACCAGGGCTTAAGTGAAACATTCTTTGAACTATAACACTTCGTTTTTAGCAGTCTTTAAGGCTCTAAGGCACCAGTTTTCCTGTGAAAGAAAGGAAATACAGCCATCACATCGGTCAGATAACTCCGAACCTTGTCAGTATCTTCCTTCAAGAATATTCCAAGAGATTGTCGATGGGAAGACCGAGATAAAACTACATGTATCAGTAATACAATTGAATAGAGATAAAGAAAGCAGAAATCCGTGACAGATACCACTTAATGTAGACATGCCTAAAGATAGTAGGTACAACCTGTATCATATGTATATATAACTGGTGAAATATTACCAAGGTCCCTACACACAAATGGAAGAAATATAGTTTACACATACAATATTGACAAACTAACCTTTCAGCTCGGCCTACACGACCAATTCTATGGACATAGTTTTGTTTTTCATCCGGTAATGTAACATTTATCACTGCATAGGATGAAAGAATAAACATGCATCAAAACAGATTATCTTCGAAACACGACAATTAATATTTGTTGCAAAATACAAGCCGATTACAGTAGAACTGTATTTTAATGAAAAAGAAAATTAAAGGACTTGAATGTCTAGTAATTAGTGTATTCCTTCAGAGATATGTAAAGTACACAGCCAAATGTATTTTAAAAATGACATTTTATTATGCTTAACTAGAACCCTTAATGAACAAAAATAAAATATGAGCGGATTACGCAATACATTAGCCTAAAGATGAAGTTGAAAATAACAGCATTGGATGACGCCAAAGACCACCACTAGCTCCTATTATATATATATATATATATACATATATATCAGTATACAAAAGACAAGTTAAGACCTTATTTACAAGATTTGTTTGATAAAGTACATGGTGATGTATGTGCTATTATTTACTGGATGACATTTCTAGAATAATTCATTGTCCATAATCATATGATTACTTCCCCACAGAGAGTCTAGTCACGCCTACGCTAGAAGTCGAATTAGGTATCAGACAAAACGTCAAATGATGAAATTTATTTTAATAGAAACTTCAGTTATTTTGCACTATGGTGAAGTGAAAAAAGGAAAAGTGATATTCTGGTTAAGATGAGGCTGAAGCATGAATACATCTCTCTGCTGCAACAATCGGTAACCTTTGACAAGGAGTTATATGCTGTTTATTCTATCTTAATCGAGTAGCTTACATTATCCTATACATCAAAAAAACAGTCGATGATTCCAAGGACTGTCTCATGAGTGGTTGAGTTCAATGTTACGTTTATTATATTGCAGCCACTTATAACCATAATGGATTAGAATCAACACCACTGGAGTTAGATCCACAGTAAAACATAGAGGATGGTCGCTAAGCTGAAAGGCTGTTTTAGCCTGCAATAACGGTGACACATGTTGAAATACATTTAGCGTGTCTTACCTAATTATATGACTATCGAAAAGCTTCAAAGTATCAAGTATTTCAGTCGGATGAATAGATACTGCATAAAATTAAGGTGCAGCTCACTAGTTTAGGTATCCAGTTACACACACACACACACACACACACACTCTGATGTCCATCCATTATGTTACAAATTACGGCTTAAACAATCGCGTTTTACAAGTCTGCAAAAACACAGATTTCACAAAAAATTATTCTCCAACCAATTCATCCTTTCATTGCACCTAATGAAAGCAAGATTCAACGACATGCAATATTCAAAATTAATATCTGCAGTTGAAATTGATGTGCAAAGCGTCATATGAATACAACCGAAATTAAACCTAACACCGAAGTTAGGAATATTTATTTTCTTGTATGAATTTAGAAAAGTGGCACACAAAGCAGTGGTTGAATAAAACTTCACTATTATTTCACTAGATGCTCTTTAGTTACACAGATATTAAATATATATTCAACACACAGCAGTATGGATATATGCGAATTACGTAACAAATCGCAGGTGTATCTAAAAAATTTCTTGCCCAATCCTTAAGATCTCCCCCCTCCCGTTTATAAATGCATGTTTCTGTGATCTATGATAAGTGCATAAGATGTTGAATATTTTTTTTCCCTACATTCTGTATTATGACGACGAAAACTATGATAAAAATCAATCTACACGTTAACATTTATATTTAGATTATTTGTTTTGCTTGTATCCAGTTTAACTGCATCACATATGAAATGAACACGAGATGACATTATCTTGCAAACGCTCTTTTTGCATTATTCCAAGAGAGGCAATAAAAACGCAGTTTAGAATAACTGCCCAATTAGATAATTATTCTTGGCGACTACAGATGAAGCCGATATTACACGTAAGCAGCCTGATAAGACAGTTGTTTGCAGTTCTACTTTAAAATATAGTGGTACAGGGGAAACACATTTACAAAGAAAGTATAATCTGATTTACACTTCAGTGTATACATTTAATGAAACGTTAAACTTCGTCTACTACCATATCCAAACTCGCTGTATATTAAATATTTATTTAAATAAAAGCAGAAATTTAATATCACTCTATATAACCTTCGAAACAACAGAACCCGTGAAACGATTACCTAATCAACAATCTCAAGAAGAAATATCTATTCTCTGTTTACGAGTTACAAACATTGGAGTCGATTTGGAAAAGCCCTAGTTTGGGTTTCTAAGGTGTAACTTATCACTTCCAGATTACTGGATGATGACATTAAATAATCGGGCTATAAACAGAATTGATAAACACTGAGATGTATAGAACATTCGATTTTGAGCCAGTGAATGTATGGCAATATGTTCACTTTGAAATAATGGTCATAGTTTTATTACACGTACGGCTACACGTTTGAACTGCTGAAAAGTTCAGCAGACGATGCTCTAGAAACAGAATTAGATATTTTGAAAGAAATCTTCATCCACAATGGATACCCATTAGGATTCATCGATTAAAATATCACACCAAGAATTTGGAGGAAGGAAAATTCACTTGCGGAGAAAAAGAAACTCTACATGAACTTGGATTTCAAGGGAGATTCAACAAGAGATATTCTCAAGAGAAGGATCGCATCATCTCTGAGAAGAACATTCTTTGCAGCAAAGCTAAAAACAGAGTTCTCCAGTCACCCACTGATCTGCAGAAGCACTAAGGACAAGATCCCGCATGTGACCACTTCTGTGTGTAAATATCCGTTCACCTGCTGCTGTGGAGCCAGGTACATTGGTCGCTTGACGCGCATCTTGCCCAAGAGATTTCAAGAGCACTATCCAGCATGGTTGCGCAAAAGTAATAGTAGTGCTCCAAGGAGTGCGATAATTGGACACCTGGTTAACAGTGATCATTTCATCTCAGCAAACGCCTCCTTCAAAGTAATCTACAGAGTCAAGAATAACCTATTAAACGCAATACGGTTTCTTCTTCTTTGTATCGCCCAAGCTCAGGCCATTCACACAGAAAAACCGGAGCTGTGCATGCAAATTACTCAACCACTTTCACTATCATGGTAAAAACTTTGTTGATTTTTGATGACTTAATTTTGTCTGCTTGCCTGTTTCTCTCATTGCTTATAATTCATGTATTCATTTAGAACTCTTATGTAATTTCATATTCTCTACTTTTCTTATGTGCATACTGAGTAGAACTCAATCGTCACACTACTCATATTGTTACGTAAATCCTCTTTAACAAGTCAGTGTGACAACTCATCACCTTTGTTACCACTCTAGTTTCATTAACGCCCAATTTTCTTGACCGTTTTCGTATTACGTAGCCCCAACCAAGACTTACTAATTCTCACCCAATTTAGTTGAAATAACCATAACCGATTGTACTTTTGTTTGACAAACTTAATGTACACACGCATACAAAATAACCTAAAAGTATGTATATTTGTGACTATACATCTAAGAAAATGAAATCGCCGAAAAGAGACTCTTCACCGAACTACGTGTTTTGTTCTGACTAATCAGATAGCAGAAAACTACCAAGTTCAGAGAACAAATTTGTCGTTCTCACTTGGGTACTGAGTCTCTATTCATAGTATGTTAACTGGAGAAATTGTGGGTCAAAGGGTTAGTTATGGCTAAATCAAAGGATGCCATAAATCGATGACATATTTGAGTATTAATTTGATCCAAACGAGAAACAGACTGCTTGGCTAGGAGTGATCGAGACTCTAATAACTAGTGGCTGGCACTATTTGCGATCTCCTAGATCTGTAAAATTCTAAATATTCACCATGTAATAGCTCTTCCTCCTGTATGTTTCTGTTTACCATAGTGAAGTCATATCATGGACACACAGGTCTACCTTTGTGAATGCAAACAAAAAAGAGTGATTTATGAAATAATGTTTCATATTAGGTCTTAATTACCACTCATTTTATATTAGATAGTCTTTATCCTGTTATATAAAATGAGTGAACCGATACCTACGTTAAGAGTGGAATACAAAAATCGACTGTTCCACCGACTAGGCTATGTAGGTATGGTATATTTAAAATGAAATTGCCCTGAAATTCAAGTTGTTATTTAGTAATTCCGTTATTAACGAAATTATAGAAATAGACAGTTCAAGTAATTGGCATTATTATCTTGAAAACAGAGGTATTCGTATTTATTATCTACTTACCGTACGGTAGACCAGCTATATCGATACCACGTGCAGCAACATCTGTACATATAAGGAAACGAACATCCCCATTCTGGAGAAAAAAGAATGTAAACTTCAATGAGCATATAAAGAACGCCGTAGAATTTATTACTATTATTATTATATCCTTTAATTCCTAGAGGAACATAGGGCTTCAGCTGCGCGTCTCCAATGCCTTCTGTTTTCCGCCAACTTCTTCACTCCGCTCCAGGTCTGCCCATATGCTTCCATCTCCTGGCTTGTCTAGTGATGTCATTTGATAGTTTCCTCAGTGTATGGCCAATCCATCTCCATTTCTTCCTGCCTATTTGTTTCACAATCGGTTCCTGCTGTGTTGGTTCGCTCCCAGAGATCTTTGTTGCCGATCTTTTCTGGCCATCTGCTCTTGAGTATAGAGCAGAGACAACTATTAATGAAGGTCTGAAGTTTGTTTGAGATGCTCTTTATGACGCGCTGGCCAAGTCTCTGATCCATCCGTAAAGTAGCGCTGACTTCACATTGGAGTTGAAAATCAGCATCTTATTTTTGATGCCGAGTGATGTTGGCCTCCATAAAGACTTAAGGGTAATGAAAGCTAGTCTTGCTTTTCCGATTCTGGCTTTGATGTCCGCGTCAGTTCCGCCCGCCTGTAGTTGAAACGATGCTTCCCAGATCGGTAGGTAAGTGATGTTGTTTCTTCCAGACTTCTCACATCTATGCTGATTCTTATCTGTTGTTGTTGTTGTTGTTGGCCAGGAATCTTCATCACCTCTGTTTTATCTATGTTCACTTGAAGTCTTATCTTTGATGCTTCTTCTGCCAGCTTGTTGCTTTTCACTTGCATATCTTCCAATTTGTGGGAAATCAGGCATATATCATCGGCGAAGTCCAGATCCTCCAAGTTTTTGTGTGAGTCCATTTTATGTCTGTTTCCTCATTGCCTGTTGTCTGTCGCATTATCCAATCTACTGCAATCAGGAAGATCATTGGCGATAGTAGACGGTCTTGCCCCACTCCTGCCCCACTTTGAAGGCTTCTGTAAATTTCCCGTTGTGGATTACTTGGCATGCAGCAGTGTCATATAACTGTTGGATGAGATGTATAATTGTCGATGGGACCCCGTAGTATTGAGGTAGTTTCCGAATCACTGCTCGATCGACGCTGTCTGCTGAAGGCCTTTTCAAAGTCAATGAAGTTGAGATAGAGAGCTGACTGCCATTCCAAGCTTTGCTCAATGATGATCCGTAGAGTGGTGATTTGATCAATACATGACTTGTTTCTCCTAAATCCAGCTTGTTCCGGTCGGAGTTTTTCATCCAGGGCATGTTTGATTCTCTCCAGGATGATGCGGCTTAGTGTTTTGCTTGGGATGGACAGGAGCATAATTCCGCGCCAGTTTTCGCATTGACTTAAGTCTATTTTACACTAATAAATAGTCGTACAAGAGTTCTCCTTAACAGAAAAGTTTAGCAATAAAACATACCTTGAATTTTTGTAAGTTTGCTTTGCGTTCAGGTGGACTTCGATCACTGTGGAGGCAAACACAACTGAATTGAGAGTCACGACGGTTAGGGCCTGTTTAGAGGAGTAAGACGACAAAATTTAAAATCACATTAATAAAGAACAGATGTGCTAATAAAAAACAATAAGAAACTTGGCTAACTGGCTTAGCCACTTTACAAATTAAACAGACCACAGAATTTTAATTACCTAAAGTAGTATTGGCAAAGTTTATAAAATCCAGTAATTTATATCCAAAACACAGACAAAACTCCCGTTTATTTAATAAAGAAGATTCGCGCGGTATGTTATTATACGCTGCTTTTTATTATAGTACCTATTCAAATTGGATTCGTCGACGCAAATCTTATTGCAATATAAACAAACCACAGAAGTCCCTAAAAATGTGAATGAGGATAAGTTTTCAGTCTAGTATGAAATCCACTCTCATTTTTCCCTTCATTGCTTATCATTAATTTATCAAACAGAGCATTGAAGTAAGAATACAACTTGGGCAATTTGATGGATTATAATCCATCGGAGTAAATTTATGTGGTAAAATCACTCAGTGATACAGTATTATTTACTGATGACGTTTCGAGCATATCACAATCACATTATATCGCCTTGGTATGATTATGAGCGATGAATTGTGCTCGAAACATAATCAGTAAATAATACTGTATAACACTGTGGTTTTATCACATAAATTTACTCCATCTCATGGAAGTGCAATGAAGTCACTCCAAAGGCATTAATAATTACTATCGCAATTTAAAGACCATTATCACACCGATCTCAAAAAACATAAAACTGCTGAAAAATCTTTGTAAATTTAAAAAAATAATTTTGGTACTTTTCCTTTTTTACGATGCTTTTCACCTTAATCCGGATACAATCAATTAAACCACAGATTTGTAATACTGTTCCTTTAAATAGTATATTCAGGCTTCAGTTACATGTTTTGATGATAATAAAAAAGCTCAGGTGTTATCCATTAACTGACATACGAGAAGTGCTTTCGCAATCACAGCAACTGATCGTTTGGATTATAAAACCACAATTAGGTATTCCACTTTTATCTTAACTGGCATTATATCATCTAACAGTCCTAAGTCATTGTATTCAGTACATCCTAGATACAAGTGACAAGCTCTTCTGCTTAAAATGTTCTCTCCAAGTTGTGTATCAGTATTTTCCCGTGGAAACCTGAACAATAGTCAGGTGTGATGGCAAACTAGCTAAAATATCACCACAGTAAGTAAAATAGCATGTTAAACTGTAGTGTTAGTCTCAAAAAGTGTTGCCCACACACACATAAGATGCCTAATTATTTATTTTTTTTTTTGATTACAGCTTGATTCCACACTGTATTTTTGGTACAAGTATGGAATTTTCAGCGTGGATATCGGTGGCCCAAATTTTGCAGGCCAACCAAAGACATCAGGTGTGCGTCGGCGAGGGCTCGAACCCCGGACCATGTGCATGGTCGGCGAGAGTCCTAACCACTGTGCCACCGACGCGATGTGTCATAAGTGAAAGTGGTATGCCTTGTATACATGCTCTCTAACGACGATTGACAGATAAAAGCGGCGGTACTAAAAAAACACAACAACAACATAGTCGACTTACCACCACCCATGGAGATGAAATACTGTTCCAGATTGTCACAGTCTAGTTTAGTGCGACAAAAGATTAAGGCACGATCCATATTTTGTTGCTTGATGGCACGAATAACATATTCACCCTTCAATAGTTTTACAGCTTCTGAGAAAACTTCTGTTGAAAAAGCAAACCGTAAAGATAAAACGCAACACACAATAATTGTAAACGTTAAGGTGTTTTTAAAGATAACAGAAATAAGAATTCTCTATGAATGGAACAATGCAGCATTATCGCCTTACAAAGTTTTCAACTATACGCTTTAATTCACTATAGCAAAACTGATTGATACCACGAAATGTCATCAACTAAATGACAGTTGTAACTAAAAAATGTTGACAAGTAGTTTGCTTTACTGGTGGATGTTTTAGGCTTACAAACAACCACAAAATATACGGTATTGAGGTAGGCGAATTAGACCTACAGCATAAATTGGAAGTGTTCTGGGTTTTTAACTGCCACTAATTGACACCACAGATATACGCTTTTAAAATAGCTGAAGTCAATTTTAACAGTTACGATCAGGGCCAGCATAAAATACAACTGACATGATCGTAAATAATAAACTGAGTTCAAAATGTCAGCTGGTAAATAATACACATTATGTACTACCATAGTGTCTGAGTTTTACAAATATACCAGTATGGAATAATTATTTCGTTCTTATACAATATTTACCTGGTGAATTCAAATTGGGACTTAGTTGATCTTTCATGTGAACACCATCAGTTTGAATATGCTTATTAGTTTTCATTAATTCTTTCCATAATGGGTCAGTGTTAGGATCAATAAGGCATACCTAAATAATGAGGAAATTTTATCATCAAGAACAAAATGTAAGTTTTACTCATTTGTACAGGATGGTATCAAAAACAAGTCATCAGTAAATCTTAAACATAAAGCATAGCTATTTACTTCACAATCTAAGAATTTCTATTTCTGATAAAAAAGCGTCTACTAAGAAGTTTCTGAGACAATAAGAGTATCAAAACAAAATATTTTATTATAAAATTTATAACATTATTAATTGTATTAATATTACGATTAATTGACAACCTTGAATGTATGAGGACTGAACGAAAAAGTATAGAATACAAACAGTCGACCAACAGGGAGAAATGCTATAAGAGTGGCATATGGGTAGCGTGGTAAAGTGGAAATCTATGATTTCTGCCTGGCCATCTAATTTTCAGTACGGAGCAAGAGAAGACAGCTCTTTATAAAAGTCTGAAGCCTGTTCAAAATGCTTTTGGTGAAACACCTAGTCTCTGATGAATATAAAAAACACTGACTAACTTGACATTAGTGTTGAAAATTCTAAACTTGTTCTTATCGCTGATTGGAGCAGATTTCAACACCAATTTCACGGTAATGTCTGTCTTAATTTTCCGACCCTAGCTTTGACATTCTCCTGCGTGCTGCCAGTAGCTGAAACGATGATGATGCCTAGATAGGTTAGACTGGCGACCTCCTTCAAATTTCTCCCTCTGATACTGGTTGGTGCTTGTTAATATCAGCTAGGTATTTTTATGCCCTCTGTCTTCTTTGTTTCTTCAGAGATGAATGATTAATGTTCTAGGTTTAATAATCATGAGCAGACTACGTGATGTTAAGAAGCAACGTCGATGCTTTAGGCCAGAAAGAGAGTGTACTGGTCAGTCGATAAGGTTAGGCTACGTGTTATATGCATGAAGAGCCACAACCTTTTTCATCAGGAGGAGATTAGGTTGGGGAAGAATTAGATGTGGTTGAACCAAAGCCTGGCATCAGCTCTTAAAACTTTTGACAGCTGGTTCGAGCCGCGTAGAAAGGTGTAGGCTGCCTGATCGGAAGTTTTGCGGTACCTAGAACTAACGGCTGAAGACTACTGGCAATATGGCTTAAAGTCGTTCTAAATGACGCTAACGCATTAACCCTTTGTGATCTCCCATACACTCTAAACTTTAATGTTCTCCAAGTGTTACTATTCTTTCTTACATTTCTGTTCATTGCGCTTCTTTTGAAATTTCGACTATAATCTATTAAAAAATCTATTTGCAAATAACTTTTGGAATTCTGATGTCAATGATTTCATGTTATTCTTTAAAATCCAATAATGTTGTCAATAACAAACATTCTTTCATTATTACGGATATGTAACTGTAGAACCTGATGATAAAGTTATCGAAAAGAATATTCTTTGTTCAGTAATCAATCTTTTGAATCTCTTTTTTTCCTATCTTTTTGTGCCAGATGGAGTGTGGCAACTGGAGCTGCTGTACTTCTGTGTTTATTTTTATTAGGAACATTTGCGTCCTTATCGCAACTGTCGAAACTCAGACAGTAAGAAATCCATAACAGAATTATTTTTTATTATTTGATAGAACACCTGGGGAATAAATAAAACTGTATCACACTGTGTTTTATCAAATAAATTTATTCTACTAATAGTGAAATGCTAATTAGAGAAACTTAACCACGAGATATGTAAACAATAAACAAGGCATTCAGCTAAGAGGACGATTAAAAAAAAAGAGATTAGTGGAAAAATAAACAAGTTTTCCAATCAAATGAGTTTTTTCCTTCCGCTATTTTATTTGACATTCCAATTTGATTTCTCTCATTGGTATAACTTGGCTCTTTAAATGAAAGTAAACGTGATACTATTGCACTGATATAATTATTATTACTACTCTTATTAAACAGCAAAAGACGCATCACAATAAAGCAGTGAAAAAAAACACACAACAGATATAGACACATTGAGAGACAGCATCATAAGAACAAGTACGCATATTTATTAAGAGCATTCAAAAAAAAAGGGAACGTTCATTATTCTCTATTACTTTTTCACCCATTTTTGATCATGTTTCAAGCCACCAACTTCATTTCCATTATCTTTTTTTATGTTGTGTGATTCTTAAATATTAGTAACTTCTACCACTGTATAAGGAGTCCGTGCAATCTCTTTGTTAGTATGAGTGTCGTTTCTAGGTTTCAGTTATTTATGTGCTTCACTTGGTGAATTTTTTTTTATCGGAAGAAAAGATGAAGGTTCATGCAAAGAGTGGTGGGTCATCTTTTATTTAATGAACATACGCATTTGGTTGCCTAATTGTACTTTTCGAATTGATAATGTAACATAATCAACTAGGGTGAAATAATTTTGTGTAAACACAACTTAAGAAAATGAGAGAAGAAAGAAAAAAATAGTCTACGGCACGCCTTAATGAGAATTTTGATTGGTTAGAACAGAAATAATTCACTTAAACAATTATTTTTTTTAAAAAACGAGTTGTACATATACGGATTATATGCTAATTTCTAAGTGTCATTATTATCATAGAAAAGAAGACACTTAAATATCATTGCTATATTTTGGGTTGTCTATTATATATATGTAATAAGGACTTACCACGTGATGTACTGTTTCTGGAACACTGTCTTGACCTTTCAAGTCTATCCATACCGGGAAGTGCATCAGCTTGTTCTAGAATTCACGTAGAGAAATTAGGAAAATAATTTAGAATGAGAAAATCCTGCGAGATATAAACTGACCTCTTAAATCGACAGTTTGAGAGTTGGAAAAGTTAAGAGAAGGTTAATTATTTAAAGTAATAATTAAAAAAAAATCAATAAATGAAGTTACCTCTGTTGTGTACCTTACTCTCAAAGCCTTAGTTGATGAGATGTTACAAATTCCTCAGTAAAAAAAATCTACGCCAGTGCATGTCGTAATTTTCGATCTCTGCAAATAAAAACCATGTTCAGTGGCTTTGGTGATTAATATAAAGGCAAAGAAGCGGAAATTCGGAAAGTCAATCACTCAACTACTACTTTTTTTACTAGCATCCACATAATGTCACCCGACAGTTTAATACGTAGAATAATCAACTATGATGAAACAAAACTGTGTAAGAGTTTCCAAACAATATGTAGCTTTACAAAAAAAACTACCTAGATTGAACTACTCATTAGTAGCTAAAAACTGATTTTGAAAATAACTTCGTGACATTTGCCGGAATTATTTGTTTTTTGTTGGATTTACATATCCGAGTTGGCCCAAGTCAGTGAGTCTATCGCTTTGATATCATTTTTGTTAACTGTATTTGACAGTGATGCTACTGCTACAGATTTTTTATGTTGTTGTTGTCACTACCCTTCTTATTGTTGATTTTTTTCTTTGACAGGTGTTGTTCTGATTGCTTTATTCTTCGTTTCCCTGATTCTTAGAGGAGCAACCCAAAAAGTCGCTCGTCTGTAAACTATAAATCCATGTAACAACCCCCCCCATGTAAACAAAGTTTCTACAGAAACTTCAGAACGACAATTATCTTTGCGACAAAAGAAAAAGTCTGTGTGGGGACATGGAACATCCGTGCCATGCGTGAGACTGACAAAGCTGCCCAGATTGCAAGTGATATGAAGAGATATGTTATTGAAGTACTGGGAATTTGTGAAAGCAGGTGGAATGGAAGTGGACTCACCAAATTTTCAACGGGAGAATCAGTGTTCTACTCCGGTCACCCAGAAGACAATCACGAGCTCACCGAGAATATGGCTATCATAATGTCACCTAAGGCAACGAAGGCACTGATACAATGAGAGGCGATTTCGCCCAGGATAATGACCACCAGATTCAACTCCAAAGGAATGAAAGTGACAATTATACAATGCTATGAACCCACAAACAATGCTGACCTAGAAAAGAAAGAAGACTATTACAGACAGGTAACGGTGGACAATACCCCAGTCAGTGACATTAAAATCCTCGTGGAAGACATGAACTCCAAAGTGGGACTAGACAATACAGGAAGGGATTTCATCATGGGTAGAGGAGCTCTCGGAGAGATGATTAAAAATGGAAAACTCTTCGCTGACTTCCGCGCCATTAATGAACTAGTGATTGCTGGCAACGTAAACAAACACAAGAATACCCATTATAGAGCAGATTTTATTTTGATAAATCACACAGTGTTGTACAGTTATATGAACTGATGACGTTTCAAGCACAAACTATTGCTCAAAATCATATCAAGTTGATACGACTAAAATAAAATCTTATCCATAATGGAGTTATACTCTACCACAGAGCCCAAGTTTTATACTTATAACAAGGATACCCACAAAGCCACATGGGTGTCACAAGACGGGTGAACCAAAAACCAAACTGACTAATTCCCAATGCTGCTCAAGGAAGTGGAGACACAGCTTACTGGACACAAAAGTAAGAAGAGGAGCAAACGCTGGCTCAGACCCTTATCTCGTACAAGGAACACTCCAAATCAGATCAAAAACTTTCAAAGAAACAGGAGCTGCAGATAGACCACAAACCAAGTTTAATACTGAAAAACTGAAGGATCAGGCTATAAAGGACATCTTCACTGCAATCAAAAGGAAAAAGACAGAGACACAAATCAACACTAGCGATGAGACCAGTGTTAAAAAGCCCTGGAACAGCCTGAAAGCGGTGTGGAGTCAAACCTGCATGGAAGTTCTAGGTAGAAAGAAGAGACAGTGGCTCCCTACGGACATGTGGAGACTGATACAAGATAGAAGGATGGTGAAACAAAAGATTATCCAGGGCATCCACGAGCAACAAAAACAGGATTTGAATGTAAGCTGCGATATGCTGATCAAAAGAGTAAAGAAAAGTGTCATGGAAGACAAAAGAAAACATTATGAAGCTGCAGGAAAAGGAGACCTGGCAACACTCTTCCAAACAACTAGGTTCCTGTCGAGGAAAAGTTCAATACAAATTAAGCCAGTAAAGGATGACAATAGAAGGTCAATCACCAAAGAGGTGAAGTAAATAAAAACACTGCGCTAAACACTTCATAAGACTTCTAAATCGACCGCCGCCTAGAACGCGCACATTAACACCAACAGCGGAAGCAGAACTACCAGTGAACATCAACCTCCCGACGAGAACAGAAGTCCTGAAGGCAATCAAGATGCTAAAAGCTGGAAAAGCAGCAGGAACAGATGGAATCTCAGCAGAAGCATCGAAAATGGACCCGGAGACAACAGCGAACTTGATGACACCACTACTGGAGGTGTGGAAAGTGGGCAAAGTACCTGAGGATTGGAAGAAAGGATACTTATTCAAACTACCAAAGAAAGGAGACTTAAGTCAATGTAAAAACTGACGCGGAATTATGCTCCTGTCCATCCCAAGCAAAATACTAAACCGCATCATCCTGGAGAGAATCAAACATGCCCTGGATGAAAAACTCCGACCGGAGCAAGCTGGATTTAGGAGAAACAAGTCACGTAGTGATCAAATCACCACACTACGGATCATCATTGAGCAAAGCTTGGAATGGCAGTCAGCTCTCTATCTCAACTTCATTGACTTTGAAATGGACTTCGACAGAGTCAATCGAGCAGTGATTCGGAAACTACCTCAATACTACGGGGTGCCACGAACAATTATATATCTCAGATCGTGAAAACACCTATATGGCTTGTTATCCGTTCTAATCCTGTGCAATTTTGTTTCTAAGCCTCTCGTAAACCATATCTAGTTGAAAATAATTATCACCTTTTATTCGCCGTCGTAATTATGTGGAATCAAACCAGAATTGTATCCATGTAAAATCATGTATTTAAATGCGATTGTACAGCTTTTGAGAATGAAATCGCCGAAAAGATATTTTTGCTGAACTTCGTGTTCTCTTCTTTCTAATTATATATCTCATCCAACTGCTGTACGACGATGGTGCATGCCAAGTAATCTACAACGCGAAACTCGCGGAATTCTTCGAAGTGAAGACGGGAGTGATACAAGGCTGTCTACTATCACCAATGATCTTCCTGATTGCAGTAGATGGGATAACGCGACAGACAACGGGCAATGAGGAAGCAGCCATAAAATGGACTCACACAAAAAACTTGGAGGATCTGGACTTCGCCGATGATATATGTCTGATTTCCCACAAACTGGAAGATATGCAAGTGAAAAGCAACAAGTTGGCAGAAGAAGCATCAAAGATAGGACTTCAAGTGAACATAGATAAAACAGAGGTGATGAAGATTCCTGGCCAACACCGACAGCAACAACAACAACAACAGATAAGAATCAGCATAGATGTGAGAAGTCTGAAAGAAACAACATCACTTACCTACCGATCTGGGAAGCATCGTTTCAACTACAGGCGAACGGAACTGACGAGGATATTAGAGCGAAAATTAGGAAAGCAAGGCAAGCTTTCATTTCTCTCAAGTCTGTGTGGAGGTCAACAGCACTCAGTATGAAAAATAAGATGCTGATTTTCAACTCCAATGTGAAGTCAGTGCTACTATACGGATCAGAGACTTCGCGCGTCATGAAGGGCACTTCGAACAAACTACAGACCCTCATCAACAGCTGCCTTCGCTCAATACCACTCAAAATCAGATGGCGGCCAGAAAAGATCAGCAACAGGGATCTCTGGGAATGAACCAACCAGGAACCGACTGTGCAAGAAATATGCCGGAAGACATGGAGATGGATTGGCCATACTCTGGGAAAACCATCGAGTGAGTGACATCACACGTCAGGCTTTCGAGTGGAACCCGAATGGGAAGTGGTAAGGTGGTCGTCAGTGCGAAGGTGACATGGAGGAGGGCATGTGGGCATACGCCGAGCCAGGTGAAGACGTTGGCAGAGAGCCGAACGCAAAGGAGATATGCGGCTGAAGCCCTATGTTCCTCTAAGAATTAAAGGAATTAGTAATAATAATAAAGTTTACATTTCAAAACATTGCTTGAATGGGACAAAAGAAATTTCACAAAATAGAATGTTAATAATATCCATAAATCCAAACAAAAGCTTACAGCTAATCGTTTAACATCCATAGAGTGGAGAGTGGCAGAGCACACAATCATCTGTAAACGATTTCCGTCCGCTGTAGCCTTAGGTATTTGATTGTGAATTCGCGTGATCATATCACCGTAACCCGCTGATAAAAGACCATCACATTCATCTAAGACGAAAATCGACAGCTACTCAAGAGAAGGGATTGTGTTGAGATAAGATCATCTAGACGTCCAGGAGTAGCAACAACAATATCAACCTGAAATAGAGAAAGATAATAAGACAGCTATATGGTAATGAGGCAGAAATATAAATGCACTATCAACAAAATGTGTACATTTTTATGCCTAGTCAGCTATAAAGAATATCTCATTTTAGTGTACATAGAGAAGTTAACCATTAATACACCTTATAAAATAATAACAGTAAGAACTCACTCCAGAATGCAATTCATCCATTTGTTGTTTAGTATTAGCACCACCAATTAACAAGCATTCACGTGGACTTGGATCTTTTAAATAACGTTTAAACTTTTTAATTTGTTCGAAAGTTTGCTCTGCTAATTCACGAGAAGGCTACGGGCAAATTAATATGAAAGAAGTTAAGTAACAAGCACAAGATATAATGTGAGTTTTATGTGTATGGCGGATAAAAGATAAGAAAAAAACAGGGTTGTGAACATTGTGTTTTATTGTGGTTCTGCCAAACTACATGCGGTTGTCTTCAAAAGTGTAAAATGTTTTGACAGGTAAATAATTAGCTTGTGTTTTGTTAAAAATTATGAGTCTGAAATGAAATCAAAAATACGGGCCACTCACTTAATGGATCAATCCATGAAATCTTTCGTGGTTATTGCTACATAGGAGGGTATTTTTACCGGCTAAGATTTAGGAGATGCGTCAAAATAGTTCTCACTAATGCAGAATGAATTCTCCTCTGACCAAATGGATTCTAAACACTCATTTTTGATCATTAACAATCATGTCTACTTATTTGCTCCATTTTTTGTATGTTATTACAAGGTGTGACAAACTGCATAGATGCACTACTGTGGATTCCAAGTCAGACAACTGGACTGAACACGTTGGACCTTATTTTGTTCGTGATTGAACGCATCACGTATTTAATTTTTCCGAAATTTTAGAATGTTGTAAAACACACTGTGATTTCCTGATCAGGGTTTAGGACATCTGCATGGTTGACAGCTCCATTTGAATAACTACCCTAGGATCCTAATTAAAAAAACTTACTACTGATTTCTGACAATAGGTATTCAAGCAGACTAATGAAAATTCTTGACATGGTGGCCGATATTTAGCATTTTAAAAGTGAAAATAGTATTGAAAGATCCCAAAATTCACTAACGCAACATAATCAGAACTAAAACAGTAGACAGTAACTAGAAAACTGATGTCTAGATAGTCGTCCATCTTTCCTAATAAAAGGGAACCTAGGTTGCGAAAAATGAACAAGTTTAATTGCGAAATTCTAGTAAAGATGTATAAAGCAAAGAGGAATACGCCTTTGTAGGCTTTTGACTGATAACCATGACAGTATTGTTGGAAATCAGGAAGTCCGAGGGCATATGGAAGTTTTAAAACGACGTGGAAATCTCGTTTGACAGTGAGTTTAGATAAATAACTCAGAAAGAATGACATTTTCGTATATGTACCACTTCTTCACAAGTCGTGTCTTCTTAATATTACATTGCTAGAGGTGAAAAACGCTTTGACAAATGAAAACATAGCTCTCCTTAAAAACAAAGTAATGCTTATCCACCACTAAAAGGTCTTCCAGTTATCGGCAACACAAATTTATGATGAAATTACTTACCTCGATAATTAGAGCGAGTGGGGCATTTGGTTTGGGCTTGCTGGTTGCAGCAGATACGGTAGCTAAAAATTAAAAACACTTCAGTTCTAATAAGAAGTTTTATCTGCACTATGGGGACAAATTGAAAGGTATAAGCTGCTAAAATCAATAACAGCCAAATATCTTTAAGATTACAAGAAATAATAAAAACAAAACTACTGATAACCGAATTTCAGATTTATTAGGATCTGCCTGTTTTTCTGAAAAATTGATGTGAAACTTTTCAAAATAGTGCACTAGCCAAAATAAATACACTTTAGAAAGGTGTACAAAGAGAGGAAACAGAGACTTAATCATACTACAAAAAATGAAAATACGTGTCACAAACTGAATTAATGCATAAATTATTGAAACCTTTTAGATCGGTTCAGTGCATCTGAACTTTTTAAAAGGCAATTTCAAATCATGTCATCAAGAGTCTCAGATCACAGCTTTTTTGCGTCTTGAGAAACCTTGCCAAACACAGCATTTCACTAACTAAATGGCTCGAACCAAGTGATCCCATACTTTGGTCTAGCCACCTCTAGGTCCTTTACAACCTAATTCCACTTCGGCTAGCACGAGCCATTGACGGTATTCGTCTTTAGACACAAGCAGCAGACGTCCTAGACAGATGAGTCAATGAAGTATCATAACTTCGATAACCGACTTACCTTCCGTACCAATCACATTACGACTATCTTCATTGTTGCTTACAAAAGTTCCTCACCTAACACCAGGCAGTGAACATCAAAACCTACAGTCTAAAATCCTGTAATTCTTTCATATCTTTTATATCCATGTTTCAGTCAAGAGGCAGAAAGAACTACTACAAAACAGACAAGCTCTTATGGGTTGGCAGATATCACATCGACCCAAAAGATGACGCACGCTGACGAATACCAAAAAGCCCTTCGGGGTCCACTGAGGTTCGTAAGGCATGAGATCCAAGCCCCTAAATAAGTAAATTTGTCGATATACTGAGCAACTTTACTCCATATCTTAAAATAAGGAGACCTAATAAACTAGTGAATACCACATCATATGAACTGTGATCAAGATTTGACCGAATGGTTGCAAAATAATTGGGTGTCGAGTGAGAAGTAGACACTGTAACCACAGAAGACGACGGCCAGGCAACAGATCGTTTATTGAGAAAATGAAGAGATATCTATAGATTCTTATGTACATTATTATTAGCGTTGTTGGTAGCACAGAAGCAACGTCTTCTGATTGGTTGTTTTCTCGCTGAAGGTTATTCTGTACTGTTTGTAACCGTTTCTTAGAAAGTTATGTATCTCCGAATCGTATTTGCACACGTTAATTCTGTTGTTACTGGTTGGTGATTTCCTCAAGGTTAAGCTTTCTTATTGTTTTTCCTACGACTCCGATTCGGGACGTTAATATTGACGTGAATTGTTATCCTTTTGTTGTTGATTAGGTATCTTCATAGACTCTGTCTTCTGTATGTTCACCTGATATCCTGTCTGCGTTGGCTTTTCAGCAAACTTGTCGGTTTTCGCTTGTATATCCTTGAGTTTATGAGACATTAGAAATAAATTATCCGGGAAGTCTAGATCATCTATATTCCTTTTCGTTGGTCAGACATATGCCCGGGTTCTCAGTTCCCATAATGTGTTGGCGTGATCCAGTCTACCACAATCACGGATATCATAGGCGATAATAGACAGACTTATCTTATGTCTTCAATTCAAAAGCTTAACTGAACTTTCCACTGTGAATTACTTGACATGCGGTATCATCAAATAGGTACTGAAAGAGATTTACAAATGTTGGCGACACTACACTATTAAGCGTTGAAGCAGTTTTCAAATTACTATAAGGCCGATGTTGTCAAGGGCCTCTTCAAAGTTGACGAATTTTTGTTTGGGGTGGATAAGAGCATGATTCTTATCTGCAACTTGTTTTTCCTCAGTTTCCAATGTTGTGTCTTTTGTTTACAATCAGCCTCCTTCACTCCTTTGTTTAATGTTGTGTAGGTTGTACTCATCTTCTGCTTTCGTTGCTCATCTCTACACTGATTCATCTGCTTCAGCATCATTGTCTCCTCGACTACCTTCCGGATGTTGGTAGCGATCTACTCCTTGTCTCGTATCTTCTTCTTGCACATACAAGTTTCTTCTCATTTCGTTTTCAGAGAATTCCGGTATTTTCCCATGCATGTGTCATCCGTGATGTTGCTTAGTGCTTCTGACTTCTCCCTAATGAATGTGGTGGTGTTCTTTGCAGCCTCATCTTTTAGTTTCAAAGTGTTGAACATGAACTGTGATTCGTCCCCAGATTCTTTGAAAGCTTTCAACCTAATCTGGAAGATTCGTTGTATTAGATAGTAGTCTTAATCGAAATCTGCTCCATTTCTCCAGCTGCATTTCCACTTTCTTCAGATGAAGTCTACCTGATTTTTTGCGTCTATTTGACAGAATCCATATCACCTTTTGTATAATTGTGTGCTTGTACACACTGCCTCTGTTTATCAAATCATTACTGGTACAGAAGTCTGCAAAGTGTTTTCCATTCTCATTTAATTCACCGAGCGCCTCTTGGCTAATGATGAGTTCTTTTCCTGCGTTTCTGGTCAGAGTTTGGTTGGCATTCATATCATCCATTAGAATTATGATATTTCCAAGTGGCTGGGACGCTGCTCTTTACTGTCTGCTGTTAGTCTACATAAGTCCTATTTTCCCCACCGGGTCTGCGTTGTTTGTAGGTGCATAGCGTTGTATGGTTGTAAATTTCCTTCCTTTTGAATTGAATCTTGCTGTTATGACCTAGAAGAGATCGATTCCTACCATATGAGAGCTTTCGACGCTGCTAGTGATATTACGATGGTCATGGCATGGTGTATAGTTGTGGTCATCCTCTAGGTGACTGGAGTACATTACTGGCTCGCCAGTTAAATATTAGGAGTCCGCTTCCGTCTGACTTGCACTCGCAGATTTATAACATTAACCTTCTCATTTCCCCTACAACCTCGCCATTCTGCCATCCTTAAATGTAGTGCTGTTTTTCATGTGCTGAAGTTCACTTTTGCTTTCCTCTCAGATCCTGACAGAGAATAAATTTATTTTGTCTGTGGTTTGATGTCTCTACCACAATACTGCAGTATAGTTAGTAAATAATTGCGGATATAGAAACACTTACCCTTGAATGTTGTTTCAACTCTGTTTGCCTCTGAGCACAAGCTGACTGCTGTCCAACCGTTTGGAGGTGGGAAATTGAATGTGCTGTCGCCAAAATTAAATTTTAACTCTGCGTTTTTCAAACACACTGATGGAAATAATCCTTTGGAACGTAAAGCAGCTGGGATGTCGTAAGCTTTCCCAAATATTTTACCTGAAAAGATGGCGGTAGTAATTTGTATTATATTAAATAGATAAATTAATAAAGAATGGAAGTTAATTACAGAGAAGCATTATTTATTCATTTTAGATCTATCCTTCATTTTATTTCAGTGTAAATGCACAAATTATTAGGGTACATTTTACCAAACAGCCACAGCCTCAAGTGAAAACTGAGTTTTGATTATTAAGCTCAACTAAGGAACGATTAAACATAAACTGCTATTAGTCTGATATTATTTAATGAAAAACTATACGGTGTAATGTCATGAGGGAGGTGGCTCAGGAAAGGTTAGTCGAAAAAGTGTACATCTCGACATATTTTATGGTTATCTGCAGACAACGGTATAGTCTTCTCTATAGAGAAACTCCACAAACATTACTGAACAGGCTGGATCTGATTAGTTTCAGTTAGTCGTTCTTGAGTAGTAGGTGGCCTGCTTAAAATTTGTACTACCCGAACCTCTACCATTATACTGTATATAATTTCTTTTGTTCAGTTTGCTTTAATCTACTAAAATATGATAGCTAGTTGTATTAATTTACTCTAGGGGGTATTTAAAATGTTTGCAGCCTGTTGATTTGCAAGTTTCTACTAAACCATGGGTGGAAACGTATCCTGGTACATCAGGTAACTTTTCCTGAGTTATGCTTTTGGGTCTCACAATTGCATTTCTTGGAGAAAAAGAAGAAATATCATAATGGATTGTTCAGGTCAGACAGCATTATGCCACACGATCTGCTGTCGATTAATATTTTATTTGAAGATCCTGCATGAAGAGAAAATACCATACAGTAAACTCTGCTGGAAAATTTTGTACATTATATAAAAAAGAAATAAAGCTATTATTATTCTGTTCTTGAGGCCTTGAGATTATTCAAAACTAAATCTTTTTCTCCTCTAGTAGCTCCAAGAAGTCAACTAACTGGGTATGGGCAACAGAGGAATCTTAACTGTTGAAACGCTTCCGCACGTAAACAAAGCTCTTCCCTTTATATTTCTGTAAGCTGAATTGTCCGGAACAGATTCTTTATGCATCAGACTGAGCCACACCTATTGTGTGAATGCTGATAATAGTACCCAGTAACCCATACTAAAGTAGGTGAATCGGAACTCGGACCCACAGAGTGCTTAAGCCAATGAGTTACATCTTCTCATTACGTACTCCCTCCAATTCATCTTTTTACTTCCCTGAAACTTTACTAATTCCGGCTGCTAATACCATTTCTTTTATAGTGTCCTTTTCCCTTACATCTGCGGTCATCATCCTTATATCAGCTTTGTTTGTCTATAGTAAGATCATTGCCATTTTGTCATCTTTCAAGTGTGTTTTAGCTATTTGAATCGATGCACCTCCTCGCAAAGTGTTACACTAATTCATAAGTCAAAGTAAATATGAAGTTAATCTCCAGGATACGGTAATGTAATAGATGAACATCAATTAAGCCTGTGGAAAAATTAGTATAAATGGATATTAAAGGGTGCTGCAAAACAACTAACCATTTTTCGACCAACTGACAGCACCATTGTCAAGGTCTAAAAAGCATCCAAGAGTATCTCCTTTCCCAAAAGGTTCACCATATGAATCAAACTGTCGACGATGAGACATTTTGCCAGTTCCACCGAAGCCAAAACTTTCAGCGTCAGTCCCAACGTCATGTGATGCATTCAAAGTTGACCAACCGACCCGACAAAGGCCCTCGTCCGTAACATGGGCCTCATAATAATAACGACCTATTTTTGTCGAATAAAATAGTCATCAATCATGTGTAAAAGCAAAAGAATACTTTTATGCACTTAATCTATGTTAAAAGGTAAGGAAGCGAAATACATAATACATCCCAGTTCATTCGGATATTTAGGCACTCAAATTATTCCCAAATACAAACCCACTGTAAGTGATGCTGGTTCAATAAAACGGGCTACTTTTTCTATGGAATACAGATGCGATTTGATAGGATGATTTACCTAATTCCCAAAAATTGCCCAACTAAAAAAATAGAATCAAGAGTAGACGACAAGTCAACTTTGTAATCACAAGTTTATTATGAGCAATAATTTGTGCTAGTCCGTCGGTGGTATAGCGGTTAGGACGCTCGGCGACCATTCACATGGCCCAGGGTTCGATCTCCGGCCGACGCACTCCTTTACCTCGCTAAGCCAGAAATAATCCTGGTAAAGAGGAAAGGTTGGGCATGAGGCTAGCAACCCCATCCTGTAAAACCAAACACTGCTACAGAAACTTCAAGCCACTAGCTTGAAACCCTGTGTTTCACTGGGAACGTGTAGGTAAGAATAATTTGTGCTCGAAACGCTATCAAATAATATTACTGTACAACACTGTGTGATTTATCGAAATAAAACCTTATCCATAGTGGAGAGCACAAATAAGTTAGGGGAGATACAAGCACATGATGAGTAGCTTATATCACCAACACCCACTGACGTGATAGAGGCGTAAGGCCGGAATCCTGAATATCATGCAATTTAGGACTACAAGTCGTTAGAGCACACCAGAGATTGGATTCAGTGACCACTGATTAAGCTTCATTTTATCTTCTTCAAATAAAAGCAAAGATAGAGGAAATAGTGCTTGAATTACTATTTTACACTTTATAATTCCAAATTTCTATCATCATTTCGCTGGGAAAATAAGCGATTGTCTAAGTTATACTGTTATTCAAAAACAAAATATTTGTTTAGCTGAACAAGAATATTACGTGTGAATATACCCTAGAAGTCAGTTCGATTTCAAATACTGTCTAAGACTTTCATGACTAATGGTTTAGGCAAACAGAAGAGCAAACAATTGAACACCATGTAAATTTACGCGAATAGTCCCTTAGAACTGTTTTTTTCGTCTATTTTACCATTAGGGTTTTATGAAATCATGAAATGCGTTATCTGGCTACGAAATAAACTAACGTAAATTAAGGAGAATAATGGTTACGAAATATATCCGTTTACAAATTTCACGGATATTGTAATAAAACCCTGAAAAATACCTGAATTTTTTACTCCACGGTTCGCTCTAGCTCCATGCCATCCACCTGGATCACGACTTTGACATAGCAGACCGTTACTATCTATAGCCATAGCCTCAGTCCGATCATAAACATTCAGCTTCATTTGTCCACTTGAAGTTTTTGGTAAGACATTAGTTTTGCTCTATGAAGAAATACTAAATTACACTTCCTCTTACTTGTTTATTAGATTGTAGAAGCTTCAGAGTTTCGTAAACAATTTGTAGTACAGGTAAACAAAATGCTCCTGTTTTTCCACTTCCTGTTTCAGCAGCCATTAAAACATCACCTCCACCGAGGATCAACGGGACAGCTTCGCTTTGTATATCTGTGGGTAAAATCCAGTCCATTTCTTGTACCGCCTTAGATAGTTCGGGTAATACACCCATTTCTGGAAAGTACAAACAAGATACAAAAAATACGTTCATGAACAATTAATAATCCAGCAAATGACGGATATAAGAGTCAACACCTAAATATTGGGGAAAATAGCTCAGTCGGGTGAACTATTATCATTTAAACACGAAATTCATACAGTACGGGGACTAACAAATGTACCACACAAAATAATACAGTGATATACATCTGTTCACACAGAAAGCTCTTGTCATGAGCAAGGACAACCATTAATTCTGTATACAGATGCAGTTTCCAACTCTTTTTACTGCTTTTTACTTCTTTTCTCAACTTGTACAATCATTTGACCTGTACATTCAGTCTTCTGCCATGCGATAGCAGCAGAAACAAGAAGTCTGGAACGAATAAGCGTCACGGTCATTCGAATCTCCTAAAGCTATATTTAAGAACAAAGGTGCAGGGTGGTTACATTCTATAGGGTGCTCAAAATACTGGCAAATCTCTAAGGGACGTCCCTTCCTAAAATATAACTCTAAAGAGAATTCCTGCTCAGTGAGTTCATAAGGTTAAGAAACACCGTGGTCCTACTTGCTGCTGGAGGTTTTCTATTAACTGAGAAGTGATAGGCACGTAATTCACCCCAAGTAGTGCGACTCAGTTAGGTGCGGACGCTGTGTAACAAACTAAAACACAATATACAGCGTCCGAATAGTTTTATTCTGTTACATTGGAAAGTAGGTTTATGAAGATAACTACCTGGTAACTTAAAAAATGTACAGACAGACTAGGAACGACTGCATGGAATAAACACGCACAAAATAAAAAACAATGTAGTTCATATGGGATTAAAAAGTAGCTAAAATTACGTAGCTACAACAATTTCAACTTTACACGGCTACAGCATTTAACTGATATCGAAACTGACTACTATACACTGCTTTCAAGAGGACAAGGATACCAGACTCTTAACTGGATAGCTATGTTGAACCTTTGAGTCCCTTTGGTGTGTAAAGCAGTAAAATGAAATGAAAGCTGCATTTCATTTGCTTTTACTGAGTGAAATACGATCATATACGGTTCTTTACAATTAGACACCGAAGTATTTGTGCACTGTAGGTAAGCAATTACGATTTTAATCATTCTTTATCTCACGAACTTTTGTTGTTACTCTCCGAAGATATCAGCTTTATTTATTATTCACTTGTCCGTCAAATTTCTCGCATTTTTCTGTGTTATTTTTCTTCATTTTTTTATGGCAAAAGCATTCAGTATGGGCCGTCCTCAATCAAATAATACCGTACTAGAATGACAGATCTTTCCTTCATTTACTGATAATGCCTAAAAAACCCAAGAGCCTGGTTACAAAACAACTGCAGCAACAACCGTTCGAAAACAAGTCAGATGTTGAAAATTTAATGTGAGAAAATACTCCATCAAAGAACCACGAAGTAAGTAGACGAATAATTTAACAGGTATTAGTTCTTTCTTTCTCACTATCAAAACAAATGATAAGCGAAATGATTTCTTTGATAAACGGTATTTTAATTAGCTCACAGGTAGACGATTGGGACTTTGGGGGAGGAGGGACGAACACTTTGAGCAGCCATTCAACTAGCCTACATCCGGGCTAAATATACCCAGCATCTAACATCTACCTGGGTGAAATGTAGACATTTGTCTTTTAGGTACAACTGAGATTGGAAAAGCGGTCTCCAATCTGAAACGATGCAAAGCAGTGGGACCTAGTGGAACGATCCCAGGAATTCAGAGAAGATAATCATGAACTATTGGGTGGATTAACTAAGATACTAGGCAATGTGTGGGAATTTGAGAGAGTCCCATTAGACTTGTGTGAACCGTTGATTATCCCAATTTATGTCTTATTATGATTATAACAGAAATAGGTTGACTGATTTCGTGTCTAAAATTTTGGGTCCAACAATCCTGTGGGGCCTAAGTGGCGTTCAGGAGAAATAAACTCGAGTAAACCAAGCAGACTTCAGGCCCAGAAGAGTGTGTATTGGTAATATCTTCACCCTGCAGCAGATTCTGCAACATGCCTGGAATCACCGGCGTACAACACTTCCTCTTTCTCGGTTTTAAGGTAGAATTTGACTCTTTTGACAGAGAGGTGCTGTAGAAATATCTGGTGGTAAAGGAGATGGGGATAAAGTGTGTCGCGCTAATTAAGGGAGACCATACTCGAATACATACAGCCAAGTAAGAACTCGTCTGGAGATGCTATTTGAAGTGATGATAACCACTGATGTTCATTCTCTGAGCACCTGAAACGTAATTCTTCGAATTTCCGGCCCAAAATTAGACTTGTTAAATGCAAGAAAAAAGTTGCAAAACTGCTCTGCACTGATTCTTAGTTTGGAGACAGGGTGTGGGATGTTTGAACATGTTATTAGGGAAGCTACATCAACCCTATTGTTGACGAAACCTTAGAAGGAATTCAAAAAGCTCATATGGCATTTGCCAGCTAAAGTCATTCCTGGCAAAGATATGATATCCAGCTGCTGATTAAAGGATGTGTGTACTGAGTATCAATCTGGTCTGTTCTTTTCTATGGATGCAAGTCGTGGCCACTGAATGTTTGCGTTCAACCACCCACGTTAAGCGGTATTACATGGTGAGTAATATTGCGGTTAGAGTAGGTAAAGAGGTAAAGTTAACCGATGAGGCTGTAAAGGGGTATCTATTATGACGGTGTGGGCATGTGCTAACCATGCCAAGCTATCGTATTCCTCGTCGAACAATGTTAGCTGACAAAAGAATTAGGTTGGAAAAAAGTTGGAGGTGATAAGACCGAAACATGACATCAGTCAAAGAAGTCTGACTGTTGATTTGGGCCACGTAAGGTGTATAAATCCTACCCATAGTCCTCGAGACATTAAGTACCAATAACTAGAGACCGCTGCTGCCATGGCTCAAAATACTCCTCAGTAGCGCAGATCCATTCACTTTTTTCTAACTCCTACACTTTACTTAAACTGCTGAACTCTTATGCAGAGTTCAATGTTGAAAAATTGCATCAACTTTGGAAGAAGCGCAGTGATCAGTGGTACCTGGTAAGCTTAATTACGAGTTTAAATTATTCATTTAAAGGACCAAATCAGTGACTTAGGTACAACAGTAATCTATCTTGTGTGTCCTATGGAATAAACAGACATTTCCAACTGGTTGCAAACTTGACAGACTAGGATAGGACATATGGACATTCGACTACGGCAAAAATTGATATGAACAGAACTTGGGAAATGCAGCAGAATATAGCTCCTTACTAGAGCAATTATGTGATGAAAGTGATGTGATATTATTCACTAATGGTATTTCCAGAACATATGTAAAATTATTTACCCCAGAAGCACGCATAGCTTAGAGTCAAACTTAGCTACTGCAATTCATGTGAGCACCTTGATAAGATTCCGACCAACAAGATGTACTCGAAACGTTACCAGTAAGTAATATTACATCACTGTTTTTATCACATAAAATTATTCCATTATAGAATCACCCAAATCACCTAACCGTTTACATTCAGCACATTAGTGGCTTCGAAAATGGGACGCAGTGCTATCGGTAAAATAGTAGTTATTGACATGGTGTAAGTACAAACAAGGAAGCAGTGATAATAGGTGTTATTGTAAAGTAAATACAATTAGGAGAGTTGTATTCGTGCTGAAATTTCCTATTCTACTCAGCTCTTCGACAAGTGATAGGCGACAACTAAAACTATGAGGATTATTACTTGAGATCTACAACAAAAGGCTGAAAACAAATGTGCCTGATTCGAACACGCTCATTATCTTATATAAAAAATGGAGAGGGTGGTGTTTCGAAGTAACTGAGTTGTATCCATATAACTGTGATAGTTTTGTAAGTTATTCTTCCAGTCAACTTTATCACCTTTATTATCTAGCAGGAACTAGTAATTAATGAAAAACCCTTTAATTCATAAGGTACATTGGCAGTAATTCCAGCGTTCCTATGATTTGAGTATGAATAATAGAACTTTAACAAAAAATAAAAAAATATTACTGTATTATCGTGCATAATATGGAACAAAACTTTTATTATGCCATCAATTCGAATTTGTAAGCAGATCAGAATAGTATTGTTCATACCATTATAAATATGGGCATACCTGTTTCAAAAGCCGTCGCCATTCTAACGATACAGTATAATACGACAGTAGTTATACAACCCCACCGTAGCGTTAATCTGAAGCTGACCGCTACTCTACTTTTCAAGGACAAAGAAAAACATTACAGGTAGTATGATCTTTCGAAACAGTCACTGTAGTACTTCATCTGAAACTTACTCCTTCAACCAGTGCGTAAATTTCTGTCTACATTCCCTTGACAGCATATGAAAAGGACTTCATGAATACAGATTTTCGTGTTTCATATTTTTATTCGATTTTGATAATTCAAGTATTTACACTCTGTAACTTAGCATAAATGTCAGACATCCTACTTCACAGATGTAAACTAGTGCATAAAAAGGAAATGAATGCCGTTTTGGTGTGTATGATGATAACTAACATCATTCCCTGAGTTCAGAGGTGAAAACTGGGTTCCAACCACACTGTCGCATTTTGTTTTATTCCATGAAGTCATTGTAGCGGTTATTAATTCACTGAAATTTTAGCCTAAAGCATTCATGACTAAATATAGGGTGCTTTACTTCATTGTTTAAGTTAACTCATTGTGCTAAAGGCTCGCGGTAAAGCATCCACACGATTTGGTAAGCCATCATGCTACATTATTTTGTTCGCCCGTGCACAATCTTCAGGTAGTTGACCAAATAATCTCCCGAAATATATTTCGTATTTTGCAAAGACAATATGGTGTTTGCATTTGCCACTGGTCTACGTAGCACAAGTACTGTAGGAGTAGTTGGTATAATAACTTCCTTTGGCATACGTCATCCTAAACTTTAACGTTAGTACCCAGCCATATCCAAGATCCCCTCTAGCCGGATTCGCAATTGCTGATAAACTTTGAGACCCTATTCATATGAACTCCTCCACGTCCCGCCGTTTCCTGTTGGCGTTTCACTCAACGTTCTATTCACTCCTTCTCTGATGCACCTCTATTCCTCCTGAATCTTTCGTGGGCAGTAAGGTTGTCAGGCACGTCACGTAAACCGTCAATGCCCAACTCTTGCTACGCTGGGACTCACGCTGTTCCTTGAAGTTTCTCAGAAACGCTTAGTAATAACGGACGAAAAAACCAAAACACCGATTGGCCACTCGAGAATTCTTTATTGTAACACCAACATATAGCCAACTTTAAAATTAAGCTTTAAAACTAGGGTCTATGAACAAATATTACAATAATAAATCACAATATTACTTCTGACGGTTGTCTTCTGACTTGGTTCTGAACAGCGACCGATGAGACGGCAATGGATAAAGGCACACACGACCTTATGGAGAGTCTGAGCACTTCAAGGTCATGTGTGCATATTGTGATTGGTAGATTTTACTTTGCGTAAACGCTGCGGCTAATACGTAGCACACGTTACTGAGGCGGGCTTTGAAATGATAGTAACGAAAGTCGCATAAACATTACATTTTTTCAGCTTAAGGAGACGGGTTAAGGCATGTATAGATTTTACAGATGTGATATGCATGTGGGCCCACTAAAAAAGTGAATATTAATGGGTAACTTAATCAGAGAAGTATAAAGTTTGAATATTTAGTCTTTTTCAGTTTATTGTAACGGACAGAGAGGAGAGGCATTTGTGTAATATTTGCATTTTGCAGAAGACAAACTTTGAAAGATAAATCGGAAGTTCTAGGATTCTTCAAGTTTATTATGGGATATATGGACTATTCTTACCGATTGTACTATTGTTCCCTCCCTTGTTCACATATTCATTGTTGCTAAGATTAGGAATCGTTCACCTGAGGTAAGATTAATTCACCTGATATGTATATATCCTTAGATATTTCTCAGTGTGGCCGGAGGTGGTCAAGGGAATTCAATCTCAGTCTTTGCATGGAAAGATCATAACCAGTTTCTTCTGAAGGATCAGGTGGTGCTGAAAGCTGTAAAGAAGGGTCCAATGTCACAATCATCTGAGGGAAACAGATCCTCAAATTGTGGATAAAACGATTAGTGGACTTTAATTTGACTATGATGTAGCCATAGAGAACTACAACTGCGATTTTTTCCACTGAATTGTTATAAACCCTTTTTAATGTGAACATGTACTGTTTAACTGTTGTTATTTTGTAAATATATGCATTTATGTCGACTACATGTATGTCTCTTTATTATCATTTCGAGGACATTGCATAGTTAACGAAGTTGATAGGCAACGTAGTAATACTTGTGTGAAATGCGTGATGATCGTAAACCGTTATTATTTCCTCAGTGCATCATCAATCCTCGCATGAAATGTTTCAGTACCATGCAATCCGGCTGCGTAAAAGATTATCTTTCATCAGGGCTTGCGAAAAAATATACGTTGAGCTTAGGTTTGTTTTGCGATTACTACGTATACATAATAACAAATGTAGTACGGCTACGTACATCGAAAATAACGTGTTACGCATTCCGAAACCGTCTACATCACCATTCCTTCGACAAGCAAGGGGAAGTAGTAGTGAATTCTTCAAAGAACACCGTTAAAACATTAAAAGGATATTTATTTTGATAAATAATTTTATAATATCACAAAGATTCCAACGATAACGCGCAAATTCTTCAATCGCACTTCATTAAAGCCTCCAAATAAAGTGAACCACTCCGTTAATTACAAATGCAACCTGCAAATCAACAATAGTAAGACATCCGTTAACAAATAATTAGCTATACAAAAATACTCCAAACCAAGGTAACTTTTAAGAGAAATTTTGTTTATTAACTGTTATATTGAGAATAAATCAACTGACACTCCTTTATAGCTTAAAACTCTTCTGACAGTTACAGAGTTTTCATACCTCAGAGATTCAAAACACCCCATCAGAATTTCCCAAAATATACGTCAATTACCGAATTTATTCCGTTTTTCTTAACGTAATCAACAATTTACACAGAGTTTAAACATTCCACATGCAAAGTATTAACGAAATTCGATGACAGATACATGTTCACTCATACTGCTGACAGCGTCTACTTTCCAACAATTTTCTAAGCTTTTTCGTTAAAATATGGTATTTATAATGCGTTTCAGCTGAAAAAACACCTGAAAACAAGGTAGAACAACCCAAACACAACATCGCGATAACACATAACGGCACCCCGTGTGTGCCTTTATACAATGCCGATGAGACGATGACTGTCGTATTGTTGCCTCCGCGAAAATTGGGGAAGTTGATTTTGAGCAAACAACCAAGAATCGATCGTTCAATCTTCAACTCCATTGACACTCCCCGGCAAAAATGGATCCATCCTTTTTTCCTTCACGACCAATGCACTTTGACTTGGATGCCATTGCGAGAACCTGGGTCACACGGACAGAGCTGAAATGGAAAACAAACAGAAAAGCCAACACACCACAAGCATACCCACAGCACAACCTCACACATCGCTGACGACCTGCGCCTTCCAGTTAAAGGCATCCTCTTGACATCTTGCAACACAATCTCCACTTGCTAGAATGACTCTTGCAGAAAGCAACGTGACCATAGCACCAACTCATGATACTCTACGCACACCCTCTTATCTACTCACTACCAATTACCACTGAAATCGCTTGTCACTCATTCTGCCTCAGTTCTAGTAACGGTGACGTATGCGAGTCTCAGTCGCTTACACTCTCGCTCCCCGGCGTGTGAGATCAGAGCTAACAATTATCTCCGTATGCATGTCATTCTCAGCAATAGCCTCCCCGACGTATACGATCCATCTGCTGTCTTTAACATCAACCAATTCATTCACGGATGTAGAAGACTAGAAACAACTTCAGAAATAAGCACGACGAAAATTTTAACAAAATTATGCAATAAAAACAAGGCACGAAAACAACGAGTAAACACAACCGATCCAAAATCACAAATTGAAATGATAAACCACACATATATACAAACAGTACAAATAAGCTCGCGGATAATATCTTGATGGAATTCCTTTGAAGAATCGCAGGACATACACCAGTACGCCTACAACCCTTCACAGGTTGACGATTGTAAGTTGTGGAATGTCCAGACACAAACAAGATTAACCAACAATTACATCAATTGGAACTCACACAACTATTTAACACAAACATATGTACAATCAACACATCAAATGTTGTGGATTCTGATACGACAGACTACCCTTGAAGAACTGTAGAACTTACAGTAGTACGCCTACAACCCTTCACAGGTTGGTGATCCAAGTGGAAGTCGTCCGGACACAAACAGAATTACCAACAGCTAGATGACAGATGGTATCAATTCAGTATATACAATATGAACATATGTACAAAATCACACACCAAGCACATTGGACTGCTCATTGATGAGCTACCCTTTGAAGAATTATAGGACTTACACCAGTACGCCTACAACCCTTCTCAGGTTGACGCCCTAGGTTGGAAAATCGTCGCAGAGTTCATTTGCTGACTTCCTTCTATCAGCTATATCCTCAAATCTGAACGGCAACACGCCCATGTCATTGTATCGTAGAATATAGATGACCAACAAACACACGACATATCTCATCAACCAAGTATAGAAACAGAGTAATTTACACCAAAGATAATAACATTCAAATAGAAACTTGAAACTAGAAATGCCTTTATTCGTGCAAGTCAATTTAACAATAACTCTCTCGTTTACACTTGGCTTATCCTCACTAAACTGACCATTGATATTCGTCCTTTCAAACGAACTGATACTCTCATAGTCATTACACAAGGTACTGGAGTTGATGGGCGTCTGTTTCATTGTGGATGACAGCACCAACGATGACTGAGTGACACAAGGTGATGAAGTTAGCGGTGGATCAGAAGCTGTTGTTGTTCGGCTCTCAGATAGTTGTCCAACTGCAAGATTACCACCACTGCTGTCTTTCACTACTATTTCGGGTTTAGCACTATCATCTGATGATAGGTGGGCTACACGCTGATCAATTACACTGACGGTCTCACAAGTATCCATACCTTCTGCAACTGCATCTGCGTTCAATTCTACTCCTCGTTGTCGTTGCAGGGAACCTTTATTTAACTT